TATATTGTAATAAGAGCTGGAGGAGCCAGTCAGAACGGACCTATTTCAGTGATAAATCCGTTTTGCCTCCCAGGCCTCTCCCAGGGCCCAGCCTCCTACAGTTTCTTCTTGTGATCCCCTTCCCAAGCCCAAGGCAGGAAGGCCTCCCAAGCCTCCCAAGCCTTGCAGGCTGCTTAGAGGAGCTGTGATATATAAACTGTCCCAAGGCAAGATGAAGAACCTTGACCTTAACAAACAAAGCCCGCGAAATTGAGGGTCAGGTCGTCCGTTATTTTCAATTTCGGGTCGGGGTCGTTAATTCCACTATTTTCGGGTGACCTCGGGTGACCTCGCTATAATTTGCCCTGTTAAAATCATGCACACTTGGTGAAACTTGAGGAAAATCATGAAAATGGTGAAAGGGAATGAAACAGGATAGGATTATGAGTAATGCTGATTTTAATAGTAATAGTACAAGGTATAGTAATAGTAATAGTAATAGTAATAGTAATAATAATACTAGCAGTAATAGCAATAGCAATAGTAATAGTAGTAATAGTAATAATACTCGTACTAGTAATAGTAATAGTAATTGTGATAGTAATAGTAATAGTAATAGTAATAGTAATAGTAATAGTAGTAGTAATAGTAAGTGTAATAGTAATCGTAATACTAATAGTAATAGCAACAGTAATAGTAGTAGCAAAGAAGTCAGGAAGCCACGAAGCCAACAAGCCCAGAGGCCACGCAGCCACGAAGCCCGGAGTCCAGGAGGCCAGAAGTGCAGCGCTTATTTTTCTTGATGTTCGTTTATTCTTTTTGATTGTCGATTATTTTTTTGATGTTCGTTTATCTCTTTTGATGTTGGTTTATTTTTTTGAATGCCTACTCCCAAAAACATCAGCCAGCGCACCCAGAGCCGCAACAACCGCCACAGTTCCCAAGAAACACACACACATGAGACTCGCCTTACCCCTGAGTTTCAGTGGGAGAAGAGGTGTTTTCAACAGTAGGCTGAAAAACAAATGCATGATGGACGAGCCTTTGAACAGTCAGGCGGGGAAGAATGGCATTTTCACCAGCCGACGCCAAGCAGCCTAAGCGCATCCACAACCCAGCCAGAATCAATCATACCGGGGCACAATGCCAGAACGTTATGGGGCACAACACCTAAATCTTCATTTAAACGCAACATATTTACTTCCAACCGAGGCACCCGGGAAACAGCAAATCCCTGCGAACGGATGCGGAACGCTTCAGGATCTGGATCTGCAATCCCAGGTTAGACTGCTGATTGTTACGACTTCCCGTTTTCATCCGTTTTCTACTTCCCCAAGTGTAGTGTACCATCCAAATCCCAAACCCCACAAATACCCAACCCCCAAACCCTATACCAAAAGCTCTTTCCTAGCCCCAAAAGGCCATAAAACCAACAACCTCGCTGAACCCCTCGCATTTCCCACACCGAAAAAACTCTACGTAAACCTTAGCCCCACAATTGCGCCAAACCCCGGACCGCTGACCAAAAACACAAAATACCAACACCATGACACAACCACATCTATCAAGCTTACTCGCCGCCACCGCCGCCGCCGCCACCACCGCCATGCCAACCACTATCACCACCCCGCCCCCCCACCACCACCCGCAGCAACCACCCCCCACCACCCCTACCACCCCTACCCCTATCACCCCTATCACCACCACCACCGCCGCCGCCGCCGCCGCGACCACCACCACCGCGACCACCATCACGACCTCTACAAAGACTGCCACCACGACCACCACCAGGACCACCACCAGAACCACAACCGCCACGACCATCACTGCCACCACCAACACCAAGCACACAAAAAAAGGATCTCTGACCCTCCCCCCGCCTCCTCGGCATCCCCAGCCTCCCCTTTGACGCGTTCGCCCTTCAACCGCCGGGCTGCGGCTTCGCTTCGCAGCTCGAAGCGGGTCTTCAGACCCAGATCCTGGGTTGGAATGTCACGAGGTTTATGTAAGGTGTGAATATTCACGCTGCTGTAGCTGAGGTGTGGATCGGAGGCTAAAGCTTAAAGCTCAGAGTACAGAAGCAGTCTGCATGTGACCGCACGCGCATGCGCTGCGACAGGGCGGAGGACCTTTCTAGAAACAAGCTGGGTAAAGGTTGGGGCTCTGCGTAGCTTGAGCTAGAAGCCAAAACACCTGTAGATGATCTAGAGAGATGGGAGCTGATGGGCTTTTGTAGGAGCTGGCTTCAATTAGAGAACTGCAAGGCTCACACAAATAAGGTGAGGCTGCGTGTGAAGAAGCTGCATCTGTTTTGGTCAGAGGAGGCTCGAAAAGCTGTTCGGGAGTGCTTCCGTATGCCTGTTGGGCATTTCTTGGGAGCCAAGTTTTGTTTTCCGTATTTTTTTGGTTTTGTGTTCCGTATTTTTAGGTTCTAGTGCTTGGAAAGGCAACAGTTCCAAACGCTCACCCGGGCAGTATGTCATCCAATCATTGCTTTTGCAAACGCGCCCCCCCGCCCCCCGACTCCGACGTCGAAAGAGACCCGTCCCTCTTCCATGGCAAGCCATCCCAGAGTTTATGGGGCACCTTGCGTAACAGCCTCGTCCCATCACCATGTTGGCAGGAGATCGCCTGTAAGAGTGCCTTTCAAAACTTCACGACGGCAGGATGGCATCCAATTATTATGCTTGCAGATGGGGATGCTGCACCCCCCCCACCCCCCGGTTTTTTCTAAGCCGCGCAAGCTGACTTCAAAAGAGACTCGTCCCATCATTGTGTCGGCATGAGGTCGCCTGCAGGGATGTCTTTCAAAACTTCACAACGGCAGCATGGCATCCAATCGTCATGTTTGCAGCTGCGGGTGCTGCGCCCCCCCCAACCCCCCGGCTTTTTTTGAAGCCGCGCAAGCTGACACCAAGAGAGGCCCCAACCTCCTCGATGATGATCGCACCTCGCGTTGTGAGAACCTCGTCCCAGGCTTGCGTTGGTAAAGGCTTGCCTTCAACAGTTGGGCAGCATGTCATCGAATCATGTAACTAGAGACAGAGACAATGAAATATAGACAGGAAAATGGAAGAAAGAAAGAAAGAAGATAGAAAAGAAAGAAAGAACACGAAAAAGAAAGAAACAGGTGCGTGCCCCCCTCTCCAGACCTCAAAAGAGACTTGTCCTTGTTTTTCTATATTTCTCTCTTATTTCTTTCTTGCTTCCATTTTCCTATTTTTCTTTCTTTGTTCGTGTCATTCTTTCTTTATGTATTTGTCTTTTTCGTTCCTTCCTTCCTCCCTCCCTTCCTCTTCCTTCCCTTGTTTATTTCTGTCTTTGTATGTTGTCTTTCTTCTTCCTGTCGTTGTCTTTTTTTGTTGCGTTCTGTCTGTATTTCTTTCGTTTTCCCTCTGGTTATTCCCTTTCTTTCCCAGTTTTTTTCTTCTCTTTAATCATGTCCTTCCTGTCTTTGATTAATTCTCTTGTTAGTTCCCTTATTTATTGTCTTTTTTCCTTTCTTTCTTCTCCTTACCTGTTGCTCTCGTTCTGTCCTTTCTCTATTGTCTTTTTTCTTCTCATTCTTTCTCTAGTTAGTTCCTTTCTTTTTCTTTCTTTCTTTCTTTCTCCGGTTCTTTCCCTGCTTGTTTTTTCTTTTCCTTTTTCTGTCCTTCTCCCCGAACCCAACCCTTCAAAACTACAAAAATACGGAAAGTAACTGCAAAACAAGATGAAACACACAATGCCCCACACCATCCAACAAAAGGGAAATCGGGAAATCCAGCAGCTATCCCAAAACTCTCCAGAAGGGCTTCCCTCCTGTAACCACCTGTAAGCATTGAGAGTGATATATTGACGGTAACTGAGGCGGCTGTGAGTCAGATGTTGAGACAGAGTCAGGGCCTCCGTTTGGCCTTAGCCCGAACGAGAGTCTGATTCCTCTAGTGATGAGAGACTTAGTTGCCCACATCCTGGATCAGAAGTCTGCATTCTCTATGCAGAAAATGTATGTTATTCAGAGGATACTCCTAGGGAGATCCTAGGGAGATCTCAGGGGACCCAGCTGCGCCGACCCGGCCTTGCAATCCCTACTACAACTCCGACTCTTTTTGCGGATTATGCAGATGAACCCGAAGGGCCCGTTCTTCTGGCGACTCGGCACCTTAAGGCGTTAAGCTAGGTATGTAGCTGAGGCTTGACCCGGTTAAAGTAGAGAAGCTCGAAGGGCCCCTTACTTGTCCGACCCAAGGTACCGGAAAGCCGGCTCTCTGACGACTTTCATGAACTGCCACCGTCAGAAAACATGCCTAGCCCACGTTCGGCGGTGAAGAAGCTGGAGCTCTGAAGGGGCTGCACAATTTGAAGTTCGAGAAGTCACTTCCAGGAGATACTGTGGGACTGCGTGCGGTCGACGGGCATGACGTGGCATACACGCGTTTGATGAGAGTGCTTCTGAGTACCAGGAGGGGCCGCGCACCCTGGAACAAGCTGGTCATGCTGACGCGATTGCCTCGAGCGCGCTGCGGAATTCTTTGCCACAGAGGGGCGGCTGCGCCAGCTGTTTCCACAAGAGCATCCGGCAATGCGTTAAACCAAAGATCTTTAACTGGCATGATTCTCGGCCCGGCGTAACTCTTTTGTCCGGTTCCACGCGTAGAGACGCGAACATTTCTACATCCCTGGCTGGTGTCGCTGCGGATGTCGCGCTTCCGGCCTCGGTGACCTACAGCCCTCTGGCAGGGCGACGGAAGATGTTCGTGATGCTCGACCTCAGCTACCAAGGTTCTGGACGGGAAGAACCGAGCTCGATTTGAGAAATCAGTCATCCCCAGACAGACTCCGATGGAGCAGTGACACAGGTTGCAGATGCTTTTTCCTTGTGGGATCTGGGGCAAGAATGCGAAGGAGATGCAGTCGACTTTGTGAAGGTCACGGGCCAAACAGGACGAACAGCAGAATCTTCTTGAAGTGGGGCGACGTTCCAGAAGAGTGTAAATCTTCGAGCTTCTTTGATTCCTCTTTGCAGCTGAGGTGTGGATTTGGAGGCCCTTTAACGTTCAGAGTACAGAAGATGTGACAAAAGGGTTCAGAGTTCATGGGTGGGGGGTATGGGTTTGGGCTGGGGATTGTTGGCATAAGGCTTACGAATAAGTGTCCATTTTCGGCTCTGCACGCATGGCAAAAGCAAAAAGGATTTCAAGCATTCTCAAGCTTCACCAAGGAGCTGGACCCAGATCTAAGGACGCCAAGTAGAGGTCCTGCTTGCGTCTCCGGCTTTAGCTTTTAGAGTCTACTCGCAGGTTCATGAGTACTTGTAAGTGGGGTGGCAAGTACTCAAAACAGGATCATAATTCAAGTTACCTTTTGCATGAAAGTATGCATCACTGGGCACGCGCTCTGGTACGGGCTTCTGGGGTCGTGGCCAGTGAGCCCAGGGTGCAGAACCTACTCAAAGAAGCCAAAATCGAGGCAAGGGCCCACGGTTGGGCCGTGCTGCGGACCGTAGTTTTAAAGGGGCGGAAAAGCGCACCCTTGCGGGAGCACGGCTTGTTTAACTCCACTCCTTTGCGAGCTAATCCGATTAGGGAACTGAATATCATTCAAAAAGGGGTGACGAGTATAGTAGTCCAGGGAGTCGACTTGTGAGCCTGCCTGTTGCCCGCTGCTGTGGGCTTTGGCTCTAGGCTGCAATTTGCGAGCCATCTCGCAGCAAGCAAAGGCTTGAGAAATCAGGAAATCCAAAAGTGCAGATCCTGGAGCAGGGCCAGCAGGGCTTCACGGCCATCCGCGCCCTGGCCCTGCAGGTACCCCTTGGCAAGTCCTAAGGGCCCCTCGCAGTCCATGCGAGCTGCGATATGAATTGAACTTTGCTGCGGCTCACACCGCTGCCCCCCATCCTGACCTCTAACCCCTTCCGCAAACTCCTAAACGCTGACTTGACACCAGCTAGTAGGCTGAGAGGTCTGTTCTCTGACTGCCCACCCTTCAACTTGCTCAACTTGCGGCTTTCTCTTCCCAGCTTAGCTCAAGGCAGCTGTGATCTGCGGCATTGTGGCTATGGCGAATGCCCGGACTCACCCAGACTCAAAGAAGTCATACATTCATACTATACCAAAAGCTAGGGCCTTTTCGGGAAAGTTGGGGCCCACTCTACAGGGACAAGCCCAGGCCCCCAGCAAACTCGTCTATTAACGAAGCCCTGAGGATTTAGTCTCCATCAATTTCGTGGCAGACCCATGCAGGAGACAATCCATAGTAGAGCTGGGAAGAGGCCATGGGTCAATATCAGGGAGCCCACACTTTGAAACGTCAACCTTGGGGCTCGGCTTCCGGGTTTAGGGTGACGTTACGTTTAGGCCGGCTGGGGTTCAGGGCCAGGTTTTGGGGCTTCCACCCAAGCGTGGAGCTCCTCCACCGGAGCCTCCCACTCAAGCTGCACCTGGCCCAATGCCGCAACAACGCTGCGTTAGTGTTGAGGATTTGGGGATCCCGGTTTACGTAGGCTTTGTTCGGTTTAGGCTTTAGGGGTTTAGGGTTTAAGGTTGACATGGGGTTTAGGCCGATGGGTGCCTTAAAGGAGACCGTTACTGCAGTCAGTCCCCTGTGCCCGAAAGGGACGACGCTTGTCTTGCGTATGTTTCCCATTTGCTCTGAGCATCCCTGAGCGCATCCCTGAGGGTTCAAGATCAGGCCCTTACTTAACGTGCCTCAACAATACTACAAGGTCACAGAATCCAGGAATTTTCAGCTTTCTCCTACTAGTAACAAATCTGTCAGTTACTTGACAGTCTCCATGTAGCAAGCCAGAGCACCTGATACTTTGGCCGTCTTAGCCTTGGTTCTCCCAACGTGCTTGCCTCAGACCAAAAACAGTCCTAGTTGCTCATGGGACGACTCCAAACTGCTCAGCTTACCAACGCTCCATAATTTGGGAGCCTCGGTTCTCAAACACCCTGTACAGTTGTCAACATTGCTTTGAGATGTGTTGGAGGCATTACGTAATGATGCGTAATGCAGTAATTGTTGGACGAAGAAAGACCAGAATAATCTTGGTAATTGTTTCGGCTCCTCTTGGTTACATCCTCTCTTCCATGTCGCGCTCCGCTGCCTTGCTTGCGTTCACGGATGCCAAGTCTTCCGGGTGGACACTGCTGTTGGTCTCCAGGAGTCTGGGAACAATCCAATGATATTGAAACCCACATCATAGGTTATTTTTTAATAATCCCGTCGACTCTTTTGCTGGGCACATCATAGGTTTCGGGCTTAAGGTCTAGGGGTCTGGATGACAGTGATGTGTAGGGTGCACGCTACGGCTTGGAGTTGGAGCTTGTGAGGAATTTGTTGGGGGCTTCCGGTTTGAGCCCTGAGCATCCAAAGATCCTGGATAAGAACACACCTGTACAGCCCTACAATGCTTCTCTGTTCAGTATGAGAACCTCAACATTTTTTCAATCTCGGTATGTCCAGAAACAAGGGCTTCAATTTGTTTTGCACAGCTGGCCTTAGGTATTGTTCGAGTTTTTGGTACAGGTTTGCTCATAGTCACGGAGGGTCCAACTGCTCCCTCCACAAGGAAGAAGCTGCGCCGAAGTCGGTATGCTGCTAAAGCCTGGAGTCTTCATTGGGGCGAACGCTTGGATGGATGCCGTCGGCATGCTTACAACCACCCATATCGTGGACAGTGTAAGTCCTGAATGAAGTGCTATACCAGTACATAAGGATGCCATCATTCATGCGCTGTCTTACGTTTTGCAAAAATGGCCACTCGCCATTTGTACCATTAACAGCCTCATGCATGCCTGTAAGAAACCATTTTGCACTCACAAAAAACATCATGAGACCGCAGAAACAGCCATACAACCTAGTGGAGGCAATGCCATGAATCCAAATCCCTCTCCAAATACCGCCTGGCGAGAACCGCAAAACCAAACCTCCTCACCCAAACCGCGTCCAGAGGTGCTTGGTCCGGCTCATGGACTCTCGAGGGTTGGCAGTGCGAATCCAGGTGGCCGTGCTGCCGTAGGTATTCTTACCGTCGAAGTCCTGGCAAAAAACATCGATTGGTCAGCTTTGCGAAGCAAGAAAACCTTGACAATCAGACATGTAGCGAGCATAGGGGAAGGGGTTGTCGAAGTCCTGGGGCAAAGATGTCTGACGTTTTTGTGGCTATTTATTTGGCTTGAGGCTGTGCAAGTTTTGTTAGGTCTACGGTTGTTGGATTTCAGGTTTCGTGTCCATGGGTTGCGTTACAGGGTTGGGATCTGGGCTTCGTGGGATTGTGGGAGGTTTTATGACTATGAATTAAGGCTTAGAGGCTGGCAAATCTAAATTTAAGCTGCTGAGATTCAAGGTTCCAAGTCCCGAGTGTTCTGTTGCAGGTGCGAAAGCCTCTTCGAGCAGATCAAGACAGGGACGCGGACTACCTGAACGCACTGACTGAAGCAGAGATCCGTAACCGCTCAGCCCGAAAAGACAAGCTCCAACTGTACCCCGCCACTCTCTTCAATCTGCAATTATCATCAGTTCACTTCAGCCCATCAAGGCCTATGCAATCTAAAGCTCAATCAACCCTTTGGTCATCCTAAGGTCCTAAACCCGCCCCAATCATCCCCTGCGCTCGAAACCCTGAACCTCCCGGACCCACGTCCGTGCTGCTCCCGAAGCGCTTACTCAGGCGCAGCGTGCGACTGAAGAGCCTCAGGCTTCAAAAATCACAGACAAGGGTTTGGAGATTACGCGGCGAATTTACGGTCCAACGGTTTTGCATCTAAGGGTGTAAAGTAAGGTTTTAGGGTTGAGCGGTTGAGGGCTTTGGGCTTTAAAGGCTTAGAGAATTTAGAGTCTTGGCTCGGCGTGGCAAGGGCAGTAAAGCTGAGCCCAGATTTCGGGCTTGTTGGGTTTATTGTTTGCGGTTTTCGAAGTTTAGGAATTTGAAGTTTCAGGTATTGGGGTTTAAGGATTCAGGGCCCAATGCATAGGGGTTCAGCGTTGGGATTCAAGGCTTCCCCGTCAGTACTCGAAGAGGCGGGGAGCTTCGTAAGCGAGCTTCAGTCACGGTGACATAGGGGATTTAGCATGCTAGCTAGTGTCTAGTTACCAACTGCAGCCCTTCAATGTCGGGTGCAGGCAATGGCCAGCAGGGATAACTAACGTCAGGGTTTAGGACAAAAGGCTCTGGAAATTCACCATAAACCCTTCCAGCCCTCACACTCGCCCGTACTTCCTTTTTCAGAACAACTCCGAGCCCCTGGTAGCCCTTCGTTGGTTCGAGTTGGGCCGAAGGCCAGGAAAGAAGGACTTCGCTGCAACTACCTGTTCGATGTTAGAAGCCTAATTTACAACACCCTTCACCCAAGCTTCTTGTCCGGTTGCGCGCACTTCCGCAACTCACCAGGCTGGGCTGTTGAGTTTGGACTTCAAACCTCCTGCATCTATCACTTCTACATACTTCTACCACCTGCAGAACACCGCCACCAACACATGACGTAGGAGCCTGACTCGTTTGGCACCGCACTCATTCGAAATACAATCCATGGCTACGCGGCTACGCAAAGCTTTGGAGGTCTCGGGAACGAAAATCCGCATGCTTTATGCCTGAGGGATGCGACACATATAATATAAACCATCATAACGATAGTTACGAATCCCCTTGGTTAGGTCAGCGGACGCTGTCTGAGGCCGAGGAACGTGACTCCACATGAGCGGATCACCGTCTTCCTGTGGCTGTCAGGTCAACAGGATCTCCGGGCAGCAGGGTGGAATGTATTCAACATAGGTCCCTGTGACTTACGATGCCTCACGTTTATTCTAAACATGCGTGGATGTCCCGAAGCTATTGTTCCCAAAATGCGGGAGAACCGTTAAGGTATCCAGTATTATACTGCGGAACAGTATCTGTGGAGCTGTACTTTTGTTTTACGGGACATGCGATATTATCTTGTCAAGCGTCTGCGTGACTGCCTGACTGTTCTGAAACATGCCGGCCCTGCTCCCGGAAAGGAAAAAACACAACTTCAGCCTTCATGCTTAAAAGAAATCCCTACCTTGAACGACAATCCCGATCCCCCTCATAAGCTCAGAGAGCTCCAGGGCTCAACTGCGTCAGATCCATGCCATCCGGGTTCCCGATGGGCCAGCAGACTTGGGCGTCCTTATCTGTCATGGACATAACTATCTACATATACACGCTGCATATTCAAGCCGAGGCCCTTCTAAGCCCCTCGACCTCCAAACCCCACCCACCACAACCTGAGATCGCAAACCCGTCTCAGCTCAGCCTGTGTCTCGACCCCCCACGCAAATCTTCCAAGACATCATTGTTTGGTATTGTTTGGAAGTGCAATCCCTCGGCAAGAAGCCCGAATTGATTTATGGCACCTGGGTCAAGCCCCTAAACCCAAGGCCTACTAAATCTCAGACCGCCAAACCCGGAGTTGAAGCCCCTGAATCCCCAAACAATAAACATTAGCTCAGATCTCTGAACCCAACTAAACCCAAACACCCAAACCAAATCCCAAATTTGCAAACACCCAAGCCTCAACCCGAAATCATGAAATCCCAAACCCTACTGTACATTCGAACACGGAAATCCCAACCTTAAACTCCAAACCTACAAATCTAAGAAAAAAGGAGAAAACGCGCTCCAAGGCAGCCAGGCGGCCACCGAGGCCAGTGGTCCCGGCATCACGTCAAACTGCAGTCCGCCCACAAAAGCCAGGACGGGCTGTGCGTTCCTCGCTTCTTGGGTCTTTGATGCCTTTTACATACCTGGATTCCGTCACCAGACCGTATCCTACAGGGTCACGTCGAAAACGGCGAAACTGCAAAACTGAGGACCTAGAACCGCAACAAAATCAAGATGTTGCCTTGTTTGTGAGCTTATAGGCTTGCAAGCGGCTGGCTCCAATCAACCTTAGAGTGGGGCAACAGATCTGTGGGCCTTGTCGTGAAGGTTCACTGGCGGGGCAACGTAAAGCTGGGATCTCCATGTGGGGGTTGTTTGGTGGACCTGACTTGGAGGTTCGTGGGCCGTTATGGATAAGGTTGGTTTACAGGGCCCCGTTTTAGATTCCGGTGCATTTGTCAAGACGCACACCCCTCTGAATCTGTGAGGGCAAACTCTGGACGGGAAACTTCCCAACAAGAGGGGCTGCTCCGCGAAAGAACCTTGAAATTCGAGCGCCTGGTTGCCAGAAGTTTCCGAGGGCATTCCACCATAACTTTAAACCCAGTGGACAGTTTCTAGGCGATACGGCGCTGATCACTCAGTACAGGTACGCATGATCGTGTTGTACAATTGTTTGCTAGGTTGTGCGTGAGCCGGCCCCAACACCCTAAGCGCCTGCAGCCCGAAGCCCTTATTCTAAAGCCTTGAAGCCGAACCCGATATGGCAACACGAGGGTCATCTTATAGGTCACCGTGAGGCACTTCTCGATGGCCAGCTCGGAGGTGTAAAACGCGTAGCCTACGTCGAGGCTGGGTAGGAATTCTGTTCTTGATGACCGTGGCGGGGGTTTTTCGTTATGGGTGTCGAGCTGCTGGGTAGGAATCCCGGATAAGTTCTATTCTTTTGAGCACTAAAGCATCTATGAAGCCTGGGCAATCGGGTTCTTCCCTGGTACAGCCGTATTCTGACCCTACCCTCAAGGTTTACCCTTGCAAGCAGCTCAAGTAGCCAACTCCTCTACTCCCCAAAACGTTAACAATCATGAAAGGCCTGACAAAGCTTATATAAATGAGCCCAGCCAGGGCTGAACTTCAGACATCAATAGAATCGATGTTTCTTTCGCACAATTCGCCTCGACCAAAGGGGTTGGTTTCACTGGAGGTGCCTGGTGCATCAAGAATCATTGGACGGACTGCTGTGTCTGCGCGACCAAGACCGCTTCAGGGTCCCGAGGCTTGAAGTTCTGCAGGGTGAAATGATTAATATCACAAGCTGCCTTTGAATGCAAAATCAGTATGGAAGTGAAGAAGGTGTGCTGGTACATACGTGCAAAGTCCAACAAAAGTACAAGTCATGATCATTGAATCGCTCAGAACATCCCCAGCTGCCTCCGAAAGTTACAGAGCGCAGAGACGCGGCACACATCCAAACCCTCCCTGCAAACCTTCAATCATGCAAACCCTCAATCATGCCCCGTCCAGAATACTTGAAAAATATTCCTATTGGGAACCTTAAAGAATTTATTTCTACTTGGAATCGTCAGGTTCCGACTGCACTTTGGCCGCCAAGGTCCAACTGACAAAGGTTCTTCAGGGATCTTCAGGGTGATATCTGTGTGGCGACTGTGCCTAGTATGGTGTACAACACCTCCGCACCTGCTACCTCCCGTATAAAGAAGGCTCCACATAAGGCCCAAATCTAAATTTATTAAGGCTTGTTTTGGGCTTATTGCGAGGGGAGCAGAGCCGAGATTTTCCCAAACCAAAATCCGCTCCTGAGCGTTCTAGTGCCGCCACATATACTTAGGACATCTTAGTACCATGAGGGTTCGCTTGAAAATTTGTTCTGGGAACCTAACGGCATCTTTACTCCAAACCTCCGCATCAAAACCTTTGCCCGCACACTCCTCCCTCAAGAGCTCTACAACAAATTCACATCCCCAACCACAATCCAATGCCAACCGCTGGCACTCCTCAATGGCCCCGCCCGAAAGTCTGAATTTCAAATCTAAAGCTTTGTCTCCTGAACCTTAACCATAAACTTCAAGATACTTCAAGACCCGCGCGCACCAATGACCTCTCCGAGCCGCCTTCCCACCTCGTGGGGTTCGACTTCATCCAGCTGACACCGCAGGGTACTGCATACGGCTCCAGTTTGATGAAATCGTCCTTGTTCCGGACCTGTGCGGGAAAGCCGAAGTAATAATAAAACGTGTGTTTGCAAATTAGGTGCCCATGGTGAGCGTACAACTGGGGTTAAGTTTCCTGATCCTCCAAATAACCCTGCCCCCTGAACTCCCTAAGCCTAACCCCTTAACGTTCAGCCCTCTTCGCCTACAGCCCAGACTCCTGAACTACATGTAAACCCCAAGCCCCAGCGCCAAAAAAACGCCGCCTGCCAGTCGCTCCGCGTCTTGCGGGAGCGCCTCGATTGCGGGGCAAAGGCCAGGCAGGAGCTGGTGTCAGTCTCGCGGCCACCAAACCTCGACTTCTTCGGGCTCAGGTAGGTGTTTGCGATTTAGCGATGTAGGCGTGGTTTGAGGGCTTAGGTGGGGGTTTAAGGTGCATGTCTGAATTTTTGGGAGCAAGCATCACGCGTAGCATCTACAAGCAACATGCTGCAGAAAATCACTGGAAAATGCATGGCTAAAAAGATATACGCAACTTCCCTGACTTTGCCCGCCCGAATCAGAGACTACGGTCCTTGTAGGGCACTGGAACTGGCGGTGTAGAACTCTTGTGCTATACAGTCCGAAGTTCGAAGCACGCGTCTTTATGCTCATCTACAAGTCTTTGCAAAACTTCACATAGCAATTCCGCAAAAACTTGCCACTCTTGCAAATCAGAAGCATTCTGCCAAACATTTGCCAAAAGGAACTTTGATCGGTAGGAATATAATCATCCCATTTTTGTGGGGGGTCGGCCGCGGTGCTTTCGGGGCTCACTTGCGAAACTATGGTGATGAGATGGGACGCACTTGGCCGCAGGTAATGGCCAAGCATTCTGAGATTTGGATTCCTTGGCTAACTTGCTCCAGCGACCTCCTCGCAAAGCTTAGTAGGCGAGAGCAAGCTTCGAGTTTTGCACTGAGAAAGCTAGCTTGGTAGCTCAGCGATGTGCTGCTTGTAGAGTTCAGCAGCCGCAGCGGAAACGTAGATGGCTCTAGTGGACCATTCACGAGCTGCATCAGCACGAAGATGCCAAGCCTGCCTTGCAGATCGGGCAAAGCGTCTTTCGCGGGCCTGGTTGGCCGCGTTGTCAGCACGGTTGTTCAGGGCACGGCAAAGCTGAGTGCAAAGGCCACGAGGCGCAACCCAGCCTGGACGGCGACCATGCGCAGGCACCCAGGTGGCGGTAACAACAAGGCCACGGCGAGCAGCATTTTCAAGGCTCCTTTGCGCCTCACTCATGAAACAGGGCAATGAGGAGCCAGCCGGGTGCACAAGAGCATCAAAGGCAGCCTGGCAATCGATCAACAAGGCAACACGACCTTGAACTCCTTCACGAGCGAGTGCATCAGCAGCTTTTGCGACGAAGGAAACTACTGGATTGATCTTCAGAATCATCCCCGGTGGAGAACACTAGATCATGATCGCGATGATGAACAACAACGGCAAATCCCGCAACGTCAAACTTGGAAGAGCCGTCAGTGGATACGTAGACCTCGTCGGCAACATCGCTCGAGTCGGTCACGGAGTCCCGAATCGCCACACGGAGGGCCTCAGCATTCTGAGATTTCACATGGATTGCAAGCCTGATCTGATTTCATCGGTATTCATCCGACCACGTAAGCACAAAACACAGACGCAAGACTTTATTTGCACCACATCGTCGCAATCAAACTGCCGCTTTGTCAGCTGCTGAGGCCGAAGATGATGCTGGGAGCGACGACTGCATTGAAGAGCTGCATCCGGCGTTTGATCGGAACATGCTTTTTCGTCAAAATTAATCTGAACTTGTTGAACTTGCCGCATGCTGCGCTGATGCGATGGGACACTTCTGTAACTGCACTTCCACGGAATTCCTAACTGCTTTTCGCCCAAGATAAGTATGTCTCAGCATCACGGGGAACTTGCACCAGCTCTCTAGCGACGTCCATGAAGGAACCAGGAAATTCTGCTGGCCCTCCTGTTGTCAGATTGTGGGTTTTGCCCCCGTTCAACTCCAACCCAACCGCTGCTGGCTCAACCTTCAAGCGCTCAAATAATTAATTAATAAGCTCTTGCCATGATTTGGCATACAACATGAAATCATCAGCGTACCAAATGCTGATCAACTTGAAACCAGAATCAATGGCAATGCCTTCGTCTCGCAAGCGTGCTTTACACCAACGGATTGCATGCTTGGCCAACATTGAACAGCATCCGGCTACACTGACGAAGGTTTTGCTCCTCATTGAATTTCAAAGCAATGGCTGTTGGATACTGAGCCGGTTTGCGAACGATAGACCTCCTCAAAACTTGCTTGTGGAATGCATCAAACAACGCGAAGTGGCTGATTCGATCAAAAGCCTTCCGCAAATTAACGCTGGCAATCCAAAGCTGGCAGTTAAACTCAACAGACTTGGCGCGTATGTTCTCAACCACACATAGAGCACGCATGCTCTACAAAAAAATGCGGCCGAAAGCCCATTTGCACTGATGTCTGCTGCGTTTTCAGTACATCTTTCAGACGCCGCACGTAGCATCCGCGAAAAAAAAAATACACACAAATTTAGACGACGCAGTCCGTCTCCAAATAGAAGGGCTAGATTTGTCTCCTTTTTTGGCAACATGGTAAACAAAGGGATGGGTCCATACGTCTGGCTTGAAGAAGGCGATCGTACGTGTCTAAAAGGCAATCCAATAGTGCTACTGACGCATGATAAAACATGTCCAACTTCACACCTTGCGGATCTGCAGACTTGTACCTGGCGAATCGCAGCGTCAACTCAAACTTCGTGAGCGGAGGCACGCAGAAAACATTGAAAACATGTTCGGCTGCGACGATGCAATGACCATCACCGTCATCAGTCTAAAAAAGTCCCGGCCAAGTAGGTTGCAGAATCATTTGGTGTTGCATCTTACTGAGTCTTGCTCAGGCGAAGGATGGCAGCTTGTTTTTGGAATCGCGTCCAGCAGCATCTAACTAACTGATTCAACTCAGGGCCGTGTTCGAACTCTCTCCATTTGGACCATGTCTCTGCCCATACGCATTGCGCGGAAACATCTTGCTGGTAACTCGGACCATCAGTGAGAGATCTATGCGCACGCTGTTGAAACCATTGTCAATCTTGATCCCTTACTTGACGAACCCCATTGAATCAATTGCCATCTTAAATCCATTAGAAACAACTTGCGGGCCCGCCTTGGGACAGGCAAGTCCTGCATTGCCCATACATTATCTGTTGATAGAAGCGCTGCGTATAAGTGCCGCAGGCGGTCACTAGATTTACTGTGTGTGCCCGCATGCTTTGGCCTCACTTTTTGGCAAGGTCTCCCCGAGCCATCGCGAAGCTGCGTGTGAGCTGTCCAGACTTTGCAGGCCGCCCACAACCATGGTGCCAGCTGGCTCCTCTGTGGTTGGGTCGACATCCATATGCCTATTAGCAAGTTGGGCCTGTCAAGCTGCAAGCTGTTTCAAAATGGCTTCTGAAGGTCGCGGCCGTGCTGAATTTGAGTGGTTAGCCGCCGAACCTATAACATGTGCCCCCTTTTTGCGGGCATTCTGCATAATTCAGAACTTGCTGCTCCATAATGCTCATTTGGGTCAGCATGCTTTGCAAGCTCGACAATTTTGCATCCACACCTGCAAGTCCGCTGTGGACTTCATGCTCCACAATGTCAAGAATGGTTTTGGCATGTTTTGGCCGAGCCCTGCCTTTGCAGATCTTCATTTGAGGGTGTCGCAATGCCCCCCTCTGTGCCGTCCAACTCACGCAACGCAAATGTCGTGGCCCTTTTCGCACTCTGGCAGGCGGTGTCGTTGCTGGCCACATACTTACCTGCCGCAAGCACCTGCAATTTACGCAGGAGTTGCCACTGGGCCGTGCCCGAAACCATGTAAGACTAGGTCATCCCTTCGTTTTCGCGCTTGCGCTTCGGCCTTTAGCCAAAACCTTGAGCCATACCCTGCAACCAATCTCATGGCTCTGGTAATTACAACATGTTACAACCTTTCCAGGCAACGAAGACCATGCAAAGCGCGACACTCCCACAAACCAGGCGCTGTTACCCACCACACCATCTGCCCCGTAGAGGCAGAGCCAGCGCACGACGAGCTGCTCGTCGCCAACCCTGTCTGCCATGACGATATTCTGCCCCTCTACGGCACTCACCTCAATGGGGCACGGAAGGAGGCCAAGGTCATAGGATGTCATAGGCGCCCTCGTTCTTTTCTGGGTGTAGTCATGGAACAAGATTCGGCGTTTGTTGTCGTTCTTTGCCGATGGGCAACCTTGCCGATGAGCAATGCCGCTGCATAGTCAAATGAACGTGAAGACAAGGGAGTTTTGTGTACACTTTGTCCAAGCTTTGTCAACGTCGCAACAGTAGATTCTACACAGCTGTCATTGTCAATGGCCAGGCGCGTAACGTGACCAGGCAATAGTGTGACCAGGCCTGGATGCCTGCTCAGGGCCGCCTTGAAGGTCACAGTGCCATGCCCTGTGTTAGGAGGTTAGCTCATCGAACCTGTCCAACGTGGCTTGCAAACTCACCCACGCACCGTTGAACTTTGTAAATTCGGATTGGCTATGTTAAGCGCCTTCCTGCAGCTTTCTTTAACTCGAGTCGTAGGCGGACTCGTTACGTTCTTGATCGTAAGTTACCTCTGCAGCCCTGGCTTCATATTCAAAGAACTTTGCGTTGTGTCTCTCTTCAGCAATGCGTTCTAGATCACGAACGTTTCAAGACAGCTATCGTACCATCGCTGCGTGGAGTCCTCGTGCCTACATTCAGCATCTTAATCTTGCATGACCTCAAGAATGGTCATGTCATTTCCAGCGACAATTGTATTTGATTCACTGTTTTGCTGTGCGAATGGAAGCTGAAGTTGAATGGTCCTACAGGTCCTGCAGCATCGTCATTGCTGATGGCAATCCACAAGGAGTACCCATTAAGCCGAGCTTCCCGTCAAAGCTCCAGTGCCAATTGTGGTGGCTGGGACGCCAATCCCGACGTGTAACTCAACCAGAATCGTCTCTTTTGATAACACCTGGCGCCACTTCAGTTGGGACAGGTGTCGGGCTGTGAGTCACGCATTGAGTGCGACGCATGTAATCCAGAGGCAACACCCTCGACACGGCTGATAACATATACACAAGGTGGAGGCACCCAATAAAACCATTAAGCCATGTAGAAGTGTAAGAAGCGCACGCGTTTTTTTAGCAGAGGGGCTGGATAGGTTGGCCAGATCGAGGATCGGGGGGGCTAATCCTAATCCAGAATCCTTGTAATCCATGCAAATGGCCTAATGGTCCTAACCCATGCTGAAAGACCCCTCA